CTCAGGTAGCAGTTCAGCACTTTCACAGCATCACCTGAATGCTGAAAACAAAAGCAGAATGTCTTTGACAAACTGATTACTTTGTGCCTCTCATCTCTAGAAGGCAGTTTCATGATGACGGTAAACACATGGACCCAAAATAAGAACCAAAGACTAATACAGAAATTCTGATGGCAATCCCATCACAGGATTCTTCGGGCTTCCATCCTCCGCATCTTCAGTGAAACTAGGTGGGAGAGGGTGTAATGGCCCTACTCTAGCAATGCCATTCATCTCAATTTTTAGCTTTCTCTGCCTTTCTTTATTCTCAATAGGAAAGGGACAAAAGCCAGAAATCTGCATTTTCACAAAACTGACATCCTGTTCTATACAAAGATCTTCATTCTTGCAAACAAAATATACATATGGAAAAATGACAGTTTATGGGGCATTTAAAATACCTATCTCATAGAGTGCCTATTGTGAGCTGTGCTTCTCCTTCCCAGCAGTAAGTCCCACCAGCGCTTCTTTGCCAAACGTCTTTTTTTATATTACATCCAAGTCTCTGAGCATACACAGAGCAAAATGTTGAACCCTCTCTGGCCCCCTTCACCCAAAACTTTGCTTATGGATCCTCCCGTGCCTGTCTCAGGAGGGAGGAGCGCTATGGAACCGGGCACTCCTGCACTACTGCCTCAGCGACCCCAACTGGGCGACCCTCCAACTGTGATGACAGACTATCAGGTCCACTTCCTCAGGAGGCTGGAGTTCCCCATCCAATAGACTCTCCTAAATCGCCCTCGTCAAGATGTTGTTGCTTTTTCTCATTCCCACAGGTGGGTTGACTGGTCACCTGCCCTTGAACTAATCTCTTCCAAAGCAGACAGAGGGCCTTGGGCAGCAGCAGAAGCTGGATCCTTTTCAACAATCTTCTTGTTATTTATTTATTTAAAACATTTCTATGCCGCCCCCATCGCAACAAAGCCTCGGGGCAGCTCACAAAGAATACATAAATACATACATAAATAATAATATAATAACAAAAAAAATCATTTAAAAACCCCCAGTGCATTCTCGGCTAAAAATTTTAAAATCCTAATTAATTCTATAATTTAACAATTAAAATAAGTTTTAAATAAAAAGGTCTTAGCCTGGCACCAAAAAACAAATAACGATGGCACCAGGCGGACCTCTCTGGGGAGCGCATTCCATAGATGGGGCACCACCGCAGAGAAAGCCCTCCTCCGGGTACTCACCCTCCTAATATCATTCACAGAGGGTTCCCGGAGAAGGGCGTCTGTTGCTGATCTCAAGGGGTGGGAGGGCATATATGGGTGCATGCGTTCCTTTAGATATCCAGGTCCCAAGCCGTTTAGGGCTTTATAGGTCATAACCAACACCTTGAATTGGGCCCGGACCTCAGTCGGGAGCCAGTGGAGCTGACAGAGAACTGGGGTTATATGAGAACAACGCCCAGTCCCCGTCAGCAACCTGGCAGCTCTATTCTGCACCAATTGAAGTATCCAGACCATCTTCAAGGGTAGCCCCACGTAGAGCGCGTTACAGAAATCTAATCGGGAAGTTACCAGCGCATGTGTCACTGTCGCCAGGCAGTCGTTCTCCAGGAAGGGATGCA